TAGATAGATAGAAATAGATGAGAGATGAGAGATGAGAGAGAAATAGAGACATAGAGTGAGAGATAGATAGAGATAGATAGATAAATATAGATATACGGTAGATATAGATAGATATAGATGTATAGACAGAGGCATTTTTATAGGTAGGTAGGTAAATAGGATAGATAGAAGTAGATGAGAGATGATAGAGAAATAGAGACATAGATAGAGTGAGAGATAGATAGATATAGATAAATATAGATATATAGATATAGATATATAATAGATATAGATAGCTAAATATATAGATATAAGGTAGATATAGATAGATATAGATGTATAGATAGAGGCATTTTGATAGGTAGGTAGGTAAATAGGATAGATAGAAATAGATGAGAGATGATAGAGAAATAGAGACATAGATTGAGAGATAGATAGAGATAGTTAGATAAGTAGGTAGGTAGGATAGATAATAGATGAGAGAGAAATTAAGACATCATAGAGACACAGATAGTTAGATAGCTAGGTAGGTGGGTCAGTAGATAGATAGATGAGACATAGATATAGGCATAGATAGATATAAACATAGATAGACAGAGACAGACAGACAAACATAGACAGATACAGATACTGATAGGAGAGAGAGAGAGAGGCAGGGAGACAGATAGATGTAGACAACAGATAGATGGAGATAGATAATAAATATAGAGACAGAGAGACAGAGAGAAACAGATGAGACAGACGAAAGAGAGACAGACAGACAGACAGCTGCACCGAGGTAGAGAGAGAGAGACAGAGTGAAAAGAGGCACCGGCCTAGAATCCCTACGTAGCCACAAACTAACGTCCAGCCTCCCTTGAGTGCCCCGTGCTTAGCTGGGTCAGTGGGCTTCTATGGAGAAGATTCCCACCCGTCGACCTTTAGCAGGACATCCGTTTCATTGACCCCCCCTCCCTGCCATCAGAGATCTGGACCTCCCCCCCCTCCCCTGCCCTGGGTCCCCCTCTTCCCCCTCAGCCTCCTCCCCCACAACTCCAATTCTCCCCAGGAGCTTCTACCTTGAACGTGCCGGAGTCTTGAGCTGCTACGACGGTGATGATTTGGTGGGAGAGCAGGATGACCAGCGGCACCAAGGAGGCGGCAGCGGGAATGGTGAGGAGCACCCTGGGCCCCAGGTGACCCCGTTAAGGTTGGTGTGGGAGAAGAGAGGATGCCAGGGGGGCGGAGCTGGGATAGGTGGGTGGGTGGGTGGGCTGCCTGGAGCGGGGCTGGGTGGGGGGCGGGCAGGCAGTCCCTGCGGATAAACTTCCGGAAACACGGACCTCCAAGGGGTCCAAGAGGTCAATTGGGAGCCCTTCAGGCTGCATCAACCTGCAAGAGAAGATGCTCCAGCCTGTTAACCGAATCATAGGGTTGGAAAGGGACCCTGGAGGTCTTCTAGTCCAACCCACTGGCAGGAGACCCGACGGCATCCCAGACAAATGGTGGCCCGATCTCTTCCTGAATAAGTCCAGCGGTGGAGCAATGCTCACAACTTCTGGAGAAAAAAATATTCCATTGTTTAATTCAGGGGTCTTCAACTCACCAAAGGCCGAGTTTGAAGACCCTTGGATTAATTGATCAAGGTTTGTAGAGGGTTTGCAGAGTTGGAAGGGACCTTGGAGGTCTTCTAGTCCAGCCCTCTGCTCAGGCAGGAAACCCTACACCATTTCAGACTAATGGTGGCCCAATCTCTCCTTAAAATCCCTCCAGGGATGGGAGCAGCCACAACTTCTGGTGGCAAGCAGTTCCACAGGTTAATTGTCATATTAAGAGCAACTGCATTATCTTCGCTGACGATGTAAAGCTGCTCAACACCACAGACAATACTGCTACCCTTCAAAAGGACCTCGACTATGTATCAGAACGGTCAATCAAACGGACAACTTCAAATCTCAACAAATAAATGCTCCGTCTTACATATTGGCAAAAAAAATCAGAAAATAAAATACAAGCTGAATAGTCAAGACCTTGTTGATGATGCAAACTCTGTCAAGGATCTTGAAATACTCATCTTTAATGACCTAAGTGCTAGAGCCCACTGTAATTACAGAGTCAAAAAGGCATTAAGAGTTGTTAATCTAATCCTACATAGCTTCTTCTCTGATAATATCACACTACTATCTAGAGCATACAAAACATTTGCTAGACCAATACTCAAACACAGCTCATCAGTCTGGAACCCACATTATGTATCTGATATTAGCACAGTTGAGAAAGTCCAGAAATATTTCACAAGAAGATTCTCCACTCCTCTACTCATTGCAGAATACCTTATGCCACCAGACTTGAAATTCTAGACCTAGAAAATTAGAACTACGCCGCCTTCGGTCCGATCTAAGTATGGTATATAAAATCATACATTGCAATGTCCTACCTGTCAATGAATACTTCAGCTTCAACCATAACAACACAAGAGCAAAACAATAGATACAAACTCAAGGTTAACCGCACCAAACTTGATTGCAGGAAATACGACTTCAGCCACAAAGTGGTCAATGTCTGGAATCCTCTACCTGACTCTGTGGTTTCTTCCCCAAACCCCCAAAACTTTAACCTTAGACTGTCTACTATTGACCTCACCCCTTTCCTAAGAGGTCTGTTGGGGGCGTGCATAAGTGCACCAATGTGCCTACTGTCCCTCTCCTATTGTTTCTTTTATTTTTATTTTTTATTTTTCTTATATGTATCTATGTATTCATAACTATGTTTTTACTTATACCTATTATCTTGTAAGCAATTGACAAATCAAAATAAAATAAAAAATAAAATAAAACAGCCTGGAGAATTAGGGTATCAACAGCAGCAACAATAACATGATGGATGTATTGAAAGGTTGGAACCAACGATGACATTTTGTTAGTGTTTTTCTATGGTTAATGTATTAATAATCCTCTCCTTATATATGTGCAGGAGGCTAATGGAAAAGAGATCAAAACACAAACGACCCAGGAGATTACAACGAAGGACCCAGGATACCACAACAAAAGAACTCGCAAGCCCATCACACAACCCATTACCCAAGCCATTAAAACACGAGAGGCTAATGGAAAAAAGATCACTACAAAACAAATGACCCAGGAGATTACAGCACAAGATCCAGGATACCTCCACAACAAAACTCACAAGGCCATCACACAGCCCATTATACCAACCTCAACTCCATCAACCAATCAAGAGGCAGCAGCACAGCCAACCAGCCCAGCACACCAGCCCCCACCACCAGTATTTATAGAGAGACGGCTGCTCCGATCACACACTGCTCACACTGGCACAAAGCCGAAAGCACCAGCCTGAGGATGACGAGTGGGGCCTCGCCGAAACGTCGCCAAGATACTCTCAATCTTACACGGAAAAAGACCCAAACATGCCAAGACCTACATGTAAGGCATTCAGCTTTGTTCGGGTATTTTCCCACGTCATTGTAGTTGTGCTTTTAAAGTTGTAGCAACGTTTCGGCAGTCTCATCTGCCACTTTTTTGAACACAATACAGAAGCCTGATGATGGCAGATGAGATTCTGCCGAAACGTTGCTACAACTTTAAAAGCACAACTACAATGACGTG